TACGTTCTTTCTGATTCGTCTATCCACTCTAATTTCTTTTTATTGGTTTTTGCTTGTTGCTTGAAGATTTTCCTCCGGATCGATAAGGATTTTGAATCTTAAGTCCAAACCGATCCACATATTTGGCTGCACACTATGCTGCCCTGCGCTGCAGTCATAAGAAGATTGTTTGATTTTTCTCAGTCTGCATTGGGAAATTTTGATTCATTCTTCTTCCTCTTTTAAAAGCGGAGACTGTTCTTCTTGGGCGACCATTTAGTGCTAAGAAAATGACATAAAGCGTTCTTTAGAGAGTTAGGTTTAAAAAAAAAAATTTATTTAGAGAGGAAAAAATTTTATTTGTGTTTAAGTAAAAATCTTTTTTTTTTATTCCATATATATGTGTTTAAAAAATTTTGTTATCCATTGATGCTAGTTGCCTACAAAGTTAAACGTTCGGGTAAATTATCTGTTATTTATTTTTTTAAATTTTTTATCATTAATATTCTCTTTAACAAACGGGTTGAAAATCTATAAATTTTTTACACATATTAATACCATTTTATTTAATTTGGATTCCTTCTAGTAATTTTCGGGTGAAGCGAAAAAAGAAATGGACGAGTAGATTATGTGGATTTTAGAAAAGTGAGTTTTCCCAATCACTTCAACGTACAAGATAATCATAATTCATAACAAAATGTATAGTTATACCAATTCTGCATTAGAACTTGAGATAATACATAGAACTTCACTAATTTTAATAAAGAAATAATGTAAACTAGAAAAGTAAAAAAAATAATTAATTTAAAACTTTTGATTTCTCTTTTTTATTTTTTAAAATTAAATTTATTAAAATTTTCTCTTACTTTCCATTTTTAAGGAGAGTAATTAAAAATTATAGCATAGAGACAAAATTCAATGCTGGAGTTGCTTAATATGGTGCAAGTCAAGATAATATTTTTCTCACGTGCTTATCTATAAACCTTTTGGTGCTCAACAGATTGAAGACTGAGTGCCCATCATCAAAATGATGCTCTTTTGAATTAGGAAAATAATTTGGGCTATTAAGCACGAAATGTTAAGAAAGAAAGGAGGGGAAAAAACATAAGATCATAATTAAATTTACTTACTTAAAACAGTGCATTTTGAGTACTTGAGCACTGGGCTTACATACAAAACCTGCTCTCAATTTCTCATATAGAATTCGACCACTCTCACATTATTGTTTGTTGCAATGGAAATCAACAACTTTATTATTTTAGTGGTAAATGAGGCATACATAGGGTAGGATTGTCTTTTGCATAAAAGCTTTACATCTGTAGAGCACCGCGGAGAATTATTGATCGACACATACCGATCACCAAACATAGTGATTCCCCCAGCCACCATCCTTCATGAGATTAATTATTAATATACAAATACAATTTAATTAATAAACTGATCATACTGGTATCTATTTACCACTAAATAATTATTTAAATAACACTACATTCAGTCCTCAATATAAAAACTTATTTAACTTTTATTTTGGTCCTAAATATAAAATTTCAATTTACTTTGTCTCTCATATTTATTTTTTTCCCAAAAGTAGTCCTTGTAATAATGATAATTCTAACAATACACTTGATTAGTGAGAATATTTTAGAAAAAACAACACCTATTTATTACAAATAACTAACTTAACTAATTTTCTTAATCTATTCAAATTAATCAACTAGTTCTTATATAAAGGATGGGAGTATTACTTGTTAATTATCATTCAATTACTACATTCTCAAAAGAAAATACTAGCTTTGTTCTTAATATATGACCTAATTGTTGAATTAATTTTGATCCTATATATAAGACTTATGTATCATATTTATCAATTTTTTTTAAATTACTCTCATGGAGGGAGGATATTAAGAAAGAAAATAATGATATTTTAGAAAAAATATATCATAATTTTTATAATTAATTAACTTATCTAATTTTTTAATCTAATCAAATTAATTAAATAAATTATGTATTAAGAATTAGAAGAGGAGTATCCTGGTCATGAAATGTCCGACAACAGTTGTGGAGCCACGAGTTACCTGTCATTTACCAGAAAAAAGGTGCAAAGAGATAAGAGAAGAGAACTTATTGTGCTCCTACCTAGTTTTATTTATTTATTTATTCTTTTGACATCTTCTGAAATTTTAGTACTTTGATTGGAATCCTTGCTTCAAGCAAATTTGAGAGTAGTTTAAAATATATATGACCTTCTTTAGCTGAAGTACTTTAAATTTAATCAAATGTGAAACATTCCCCCCTCCTCCCCAAAAAGAAAAAGACAAGTAAAATTAAAATTGAAGTTAAAATGAAAACGTTTTTGTTAACTTCAAGTGAATAAAAATTTTGCATTTATATAGAGTTTCGATTAAACACGTTTTAGGCAAATTTTTGTGGTCGGTTATATTCCTTAAAGGGAATAATGGACAGTTGAAGAGACATATCTCAACCGTTAAATAAATACTAATACTAATAGACAAATGGGGATGGTATTTCTCCGTATTTTATCATAAGATCTAATTTTTTGAATAGATTTGTTTCTTTTTATAAGATCTTTTTTGAGTTTGTTTAAGCATTTAATACATTATTATCTATTTTATTCATAATTTAATATATTTAATACATTTTATTTATTTATTTATCTCACTGTTACTCTCTCACATTTACCCATTTATATACAGATGTATATTGAAAAAAATTGTATTTGCTACATATCAATTACTTTTAACTAATTTTAATTATTTTCTTAAACTGCACAATTTAATTAAAAAGATCTTATAATAAGGGATGAAGGGAGTATGTAGTAGTATTATATTTTTTAAATGATTTGTCCTCTCGACCTACCAGATCGGCATTGATTTAATTAGCTGCCTAATGAATTAATTAATGATGCCACCCTTTGGAATATCATCAATAATATAAATGAATACTAATTCCATGCTACACCATAAAATTATATTCCGGAAAAAACATAGAAATATAAAAAAATTCTAAGTAATAGTACTATTTAACTCATGAGGAAATTTCTCAGCATTATTTATGAACATTTTGTTTCCGACACGGCATATATCGGCATAAAAATGGGGCCCACGTTTCGTTATCAAGAATTAATGAAGTGGCAGCATTTTGCCGACATTTTAAATTTGCCTGCAACTAAATTTATGGCTAATAAATAAATAGTTGGCTATGTGTTGAAGGACCAAAACACGTACGAAAAATCTACAACGGCTTAAACATCGCGAGCATTTCAAAATGATCATCAATCATGTTGGCTTTGGCCTTTTGGATCAGTGCTTTGATTTTCATAAGCAATTCCATCTCTCCTTTTAACTTTGTTTGTTACTCCTTCTTATACTGCATATAAGATTATTTTAACTAATTCGTAAAATTTAAAAAACAATTCAGATTATTATTTGTAATTAATGTGCATAGAATTTGTCACACCTTTTTTTTTAAAAAAAAAAACTGCCATTTAATTACTAGAATTCGACGTGCAGAGATAACAATATCATGGAAAACAAGTATATGGGAGATAGCACAAGAGAAAATTGGATATTGTATTTAGGATCACATTAAAACTTGACGTTATATTTAGAATAAGAGGGAGTACCAGCTAGTTTTGTTGACCACAATATACTCCTTTCCTTTTTAAGTACTAGTCACAGTACACCCCTATCTAATAATATAATGAAATAAAAATGGTACTACCTACTATATCTTAAGTTAAATACCATTAATTAAATTTTGGAAATAATCTAAAAATGCTCAATACTAGTTTTCCGCATTAAATGAAATTAGATATTTAAAAAGGAGTGGGTAGTATATATTTCAATGAAAACAACATCGAACAATAAGTATCAGCTAAGCTACTTGTGACAATGGGTGCATTTAGCATGGCTAGAAATCCACTTCACAAATTTATCATATTACTTGACTTTGTACGTATGCACCTAGCATAGCTAGAAGTCCACTTCATAAATTTATGATAATATTTGACCTTATACGTACGCATTTAGCATAGCTAGAAATCCACTTCATAAATTTATGATATTATTTGACTTTATACGTATTAGAAGGAAAATCTGGCTAATATAGTAGGAATATCCCATTTTATGTTCCCACAATTTATTCAACCTAGATTCTGGATTAATATTGAAACTTATTCTTCTAGTTCTATTTATAGAACAGGAAAAGAAGATGTTTTTTGGTCTTATTTATAGGTACTAAGAGAAATTTTAATTTTTATATGAATGTATAATTTCACCTTTTATTTATTATTGTATTGACTTTGTTTACTTGAGGTATAATATATATTAAATAGGGATAAAGTTAGAAAATTATTGAATTTTAAATGAGAGTTAATAAAATTTAAGGTTTTTCTTAATTTATGTGAAACATAAAATGACTTATAAATAGGACTAAAAAAAGTACTAGTTACCACGCATTCCTGCTCCAATAATCAAACTCATTTGGGGTGACACGTTTCAACTTTTCATCTTGTTCCTCTCTTGGCAATTAGCAGAAGGGAAAACCATATTTGGGGTACCTATACTTTTTTTTAATTTTCAATTTGGTACCTATGGGTTTTTTGTTCTTAACTAAATCTTTATTTTTGCTCTATAAACATCATCAATCCTTATGTCGAGACTAAAAATATCAATAGAACAAAGTTATAAGAGCTAATGTTGCTAAAAAGATATAATTAAATGTTTAATTAAAGAGAAAAAAACATATAAGTACCAAATTAAAAATTGAAAGAATAGGTACCTTCAATATGGTTTTCCCTTGGCAGAACGATACATCAAAATAAAATTCATAACTTTCATCTCAAGTACGAAACGTTGAAACTCAAAACCAATCATTTATGAAGAAACAGTTAGGGAGATACGCTTTTGTATATTTTGGTATCATCATTCGCTGCACAATTATATATTCCCTTTGCTTTTTGACTTGGCTACTTGTCCTAAAACCACCAGTCCTCCCATCTCAAGTCTCTCTCTCTCTCTCTCTCTCTCTCTCTAACGAGTACGTTACCATTATGGAATACTTGAATGAAGATTATGAAGAGCCCGTGAGTCCTGCAGGACGATACTTCAACAGCTCGGTGATATGTTCGTATTGTTTTGGGTTTTTAGAATCAGAAGTTCCAATTGATGACTCTCCAACTATGTATTTGCTTCAACATGTGTTCCTCCCTATTAACCCTCGTTTCTCCTGTATCATGGTTCTCTCTCTCTTCCATTTTTCTAGTGTTTTATATATATGAGCTCTTAGTTTCGTACACCAGTAGTGACTATTTGTTATATGGCCACAGGTTAAAGACGAAGATGGGAATATGATATGGAAGCGTGTTGAGGTGAGGCCTGAAGAACATGTGAAGGTGCCAATATTTCCTGAGAGTGATTCAGGATTGTATGATCAGTATTTTAGTGACTATGTTTCAAGGATTCTCACAGAGAAGACGCCAAGCAACAAACCACTATGGGAATTTCATGTGATTAAGTATCCAACGAGCAAGGCTTGTGGAACTCTCATCATGAAAATTCATCATTCACTTGGAGATGGCTACTCTCTCATGGGAGCTCTTCTTTCTTGTCTTCATAGAGCCGATGATCCTTCTATTCCATTATCTTTTCCTTCACGAAAACCATCTTCAGAACCTGTACAATCTCACAGAAAGAACTTCTTTCAGAGGCTGATCTCAGCTATTTCCTCCTCTTTCATCTCCATATCAGACTTTGGTTGGAGCTTGATAAAATCTGGAATGATTCCAGATGACATTACACCCATAAGGTCTGGATTTGAAGGAACTGAGTCTCAGCCTTTTGGCTTATCAGACATATCATTCCCTCTTGACAGTTTCAAAGAAATCAAGTCAAGGCTTGGAGTGGTAAGATTCATATATATCTACACACACAAATATATATTAACACCTTGTTGTTGGTTTCTTTAAGCTCACACACACACACACACGTGAGTATCAGATTAAGCTAATTGAATCATTGATGTTGTTTGCAGACAACAAATGATGTGATTGCTGGGATGATCTTCTGTGGGATAAGGCAGTACATGCAAGAGATGAAGAGCAAGGCAGGGAAAGCAAATTCCACAGCAGTGGTGATGTTCAATACCAGGGAGGCTGAAGGTTATAGTTCAGTGAAGGACATGCTGGATCCCAATTCCAAGGGTCGCTGGGGGAATCAAATTGCCTTGTTACAAATTCCAATTCCTAAGATGAACCAAGCCAGGATTTCCAACCCCCTTGAATTTGTTTGGAAAGCCCACAGATTGATTCAGAAGAAGAGGAAATCCTTCGGTGTTTTTCTCCTTGGATGGCTCCTAGATTTGGAGATGAAATTAAGAGGGCACGAGGTAGGCATGTGTTTATGTTGGCTAGTGGGCGGGTGGGAAAAAAAATCGATGTTTCTCGCCGCATCGCTTTGACGCTTTGGGTCTCTGTATATACTAATACTACCGTATCTTACTGTATATCAAATCATAATCTTTTAAGAGGTTCTAAATTAATTACACCTTCCTTGACCAATATATATAGATATTATTGAGATTATAAATATATAATTGATTATAAAGAATAATTTTTAATTTAAAATAAACAATATTGCAATATCTTTTTTTTTAAAGATCTTTACAAATTAAACTCTCAAATGAAATAAATTTTTATTGCTCTTAAGGCTAATTTTGTTATATATTTTAATTTTAGCAGAAACCAAATTCTTAGCAGTCATGATATGTCAATTTGCATTGTAATCAAAAGTAAATTGCAATTTTCATGATATACTAGATGTGTTTTTATATAACTGAAAACACCTTTCAATTCTCCATTTCAATTTCTATACATAAAACATACCTTATTGAGATTAGTCTTAACCAGCCTAAAAAATTGTGTATGGCCCTATAATCTAATAGTATGAAAACTTCTTTATAAGTGGGACAAGTCACGGATTCAATCCCAGTTATAATCTTAGAGATAGACTGAACCGTGAGTAAAAACAATCCAAAAGTTCATGTGTTGTAAATGGTGGTGGTTGCAGGCAGTAGCAAAACGAATATACAGCACACTTGAGAATTCAAGTATGGTAATCTCCAGCTTAAACGGGCCTTTGGAACAGATGGCTCTTGCAAATCATCGCGTTAATTGGGTGACTAGCTGAAAGCTGCTGCTATTATTATTATTATTATTATTATTTCATGATGTCTGTGTGTGTGCGTGTGTGATGTAAAAGTGGCTATTGTCATTATTGACTGGGCCGCACTGAAAGTGATGAATACCATAATTTCTCAATGAAAATGAGAGTTTTTGCCCTTTGGGGTGTGTGTGTGTGTTAGAGAAATTGGAAGAGTTCAATCCGATTTGATCGATGTGGTTGATACTCGATTGAATGAATGGTAAGACCAAGTCATTACTTATTTTTCCACTCTGATATTTTATTTGGCCACATGTCACTCACCTTAATTAAGGATGAGCCACAATATATTCAATAATTCTCCGTAAATATTTTCTTTGAATCTTAAAAGTACTGTGTGGGAGAAGATGTACCGTGCAACTAGAATCTGAACGATTCAAAAACAAGAGAAAGTACTCTTGATGTTGATTTTTGATAGTTTGTACGTACGCATGAACGAGTGTACAACACTGTAACCTTTATTGATGAGGGGAGGTTAAATTAGTCAAGATGATTGGTGGTTTTTTTGGTTAAGCATACGTATTTTCTTATTAGAGACAATTCTGATCAAAGTATTGTCAGATACTAAATATAATAATCTCTTTCTGTAGAGATTTGAATTTTAATTCACTGCATTGTGAGAGTCTGAGAGACTATAGCCAATTCCGTTAGACAACCTCGCTAGTAATGATTAGTATTAATCTCCTAGTTAGTTTGCTGGTGATTGTCGTGTATCATTTCATAGATGTGGGGAGGTTAAATTTTCACCTAAAGAGTGATATTAATTAACACATGTTTTCCTCTCAAGAATTTTAAAGAGTTTGGGGTTAATGGTTTCAACCATGAAAGTATTATTGTAATATCATTGATGGCCTGTAATAATCTTGCCAAGAATTCATATTTCATTTTGTTTTTTATAAGCTAACCAATATAAGTAAATTTTTGTCTTTTATTATATATTTTAGATTAATATAGTATATGAAACCTATAATCCCATAATCCTCTTGCTATTGATCAATCAGTTTGAGGAGCGAAACATGCCTATATCATTAGTCTTAAGAAATATGAAGAAAAATGGAGATGAAGTTGGAGTCAAAACACAGCATAAAGAGCTAGCGTCTCTCTCTATATATATATATATACACACACACACGCGTGTGTGTGTATGGTTGATTGGCGAATTTTATATGGACAATTGACAGGTGCTTCATGGGGGGCTGTCAGATAGTGATAGACCATGGAAATGAAATTAAGAGGCAATGTAACAAGACAACACAGATCCAATGGCAGGAGATATGTAATGCTATGCATATAATATTCATTCCATTTCAAACACAACAATCAAATAACTAAATTAGGCAACTCAAAAAGTTGATTAAAATTAGTTAAAGATAATACATATGTAAAAAAAAAAACACAACTTATTTTTCTAAAACACATTTATTTACAAAGAGGATAAATGGAAGAGAAAATGAGTGAAAAAAAAGAAATTGACAAAAGCATATAATTAATCACAGACAAAAATAAAAAAAACTAAATTATCAGACAAATTCAAATTAATGCTTACGGGAAGGGGGAAAAAAAAAACCTCTTCAAAATTTTGATGAGATATATTCAATTGGTCATAGGAAGAGAAAACAACATATGGACCGCCTATTATCGTTATTATCCATGCAAGCTTTATGCATCCGTCTCTTCATTGGCCGTCCCTCCAAGTTGGGGGAAAAAAAAAAAATCTGGCCTTATTTCTTCACCGCTACGGCAGCTTTATTTTCCAAGTTCTGTTTACATAGTCGTTGTCGCTTTATGTAACTGCTAAACCCCCATGCACCCTTCTCTCTTAATCTGTCTTTATCTCTATCTTTAATACTGCCCCCAGATTAATTATTTATAATATCCACTACTCATTTGGTCTTATATATTGGATACAGAGAGAGAGAGAGAAATTTTGGACCTATTTATAAGGTAGAGAAAGAAGAAATTTTTTTTTCTATTTTCATATGAATATATAACGTAATTACCTGTTATTTATTATTGTGTTGACTCTGTTCTCATAAAATATATTGTATAATAAATAAGGATAAAGTTAAAAAGTTATTAAATTTTAAATAAGAATTAATAAATTTTAAGATTTTTATTGATTTGTGTAAAATACATTGAAATTAATTTTATTCTCATAAAATATAATAGTATTATATACTACTTCATACACCTTTTTGCAGTCTCCATTTACACCAGCACCAGTGGCCAGCACGGGTATAGGGTCACTTTTATTTATATATAGCTCAAACTGACTGTTTTCCTCTTTTTCTTTATCCGTCTCCACTATAAATAAACCAATTAAGGGTGGAATTTGCGTGTAAAAAGCAAAGCCTTTCCTTTTGCCTGCTTCCTTCTTATCATAATAAATAGATTTTTTCTGTGTATCAAAAAATAATAAATAGATGTTTTCTTTAGGATGATGGAGTCTTTAATAGGTGATGTAACCCAGCATATAAATGGTTTAGAAAAATGAGAGTGCCGTTTGGTATTGAAACACCCTATTTGCTACCCGTAAACATAATGGCACATTCATTTTCTGGAAAATGATTTTTTTTATAAATTATATATAAACCTCAGCTAATATATTTTTAGTTTTTTTTTTTGTATAAACATATCAGCTTTGCCTAGTTAGGATGTATCAATCCATAAGATTAAACAATAACGAAATAGTGTTAATCTATCATGATTTGTATGATTAAATAGGGCAAACATGATAAAAGAAGAGCTGCTAATTTTGAAATTTTAACCTCCAAAAATGGGAGGAGTTATTACTGGATCTGTAAAAAATTTATAAAAAAAATTGTGAAATAAAAACTACATAAAAAAGTTGTTAATATTGATGTTCCGATTCCCAGGCTAGCTTTCAATTGACGGGGACGGCTAAGGATAAAGGAACTTTTCTATTATTGACCTTCTCATATCAGTTTGGTGGCATGGAAGTAGGAGTGAGAAGTGGGATTGGGGCGGGAACTGAAAATTTGGGCCGTTTGATATGTGGGGACCCAATTCTGTGTGGAACGGGGTTCCATACCCAAGCCCAAGGAACTGGGTTCCAGTTTCATGGAACTGAAGAATGAGACTATTTTGCCCCTCACCCCCACCTTGAAAAGATCGAGCTCTCCCGCCATAACAGTCCGATGAGGACGGCGGCAAGGACAACGGGTGAGGACGAGGACGATAGACAACGGCGATGATGATGGTGGATGGCTATCTGTATTCTCCTTCATCCTTTGATCTGCGATTTCTTTCTTTATCGAATAGGAGAAAGGTCAGAACGATTCATTCCATTGATGCTGAAGGAGCTAAGGTCATTGATTTTCTTTCTTCCTTTCTTCTCTAACAATTTTCTTCTTTTTTCCCCATCGCTTTTCTATTCGTTACAGCCTTCTATGTCGTGCCTTTCTCCCTCTACATCCCGTCATGCTTCTTGATTTCACCGTCCTGCTTATGTTCACTCTTCCCGTCCTCTAGTCTTCACGGATCGGATCTGTCATCCTTCATCCTTCATGATGGACAGATCTTGGGTTCATGCCCCTCTAATAGACAATGGAGCTTTGTGAGTGAAGTTCGAAGAAAAAGACCGAAGAAGAAGGTCCGAAAGTGTGAAGTTTACATTGCATTTCTGCTGGAGATGTGCATTTTTTTCATTGGTTTTGTCCTGGTCTTCCCCATTTCCGGGGACAGTGGTGCCACATGATGGTGGAAGAACGAACTATCGGCAGTAGATGAGAGGGAAGGAATTGGCTTTTCATTTTTTTCCCCCCTCGTTTGAAGAGTAATTTAGTATTTTCATATTATAAATACATATTTTAATTAAAAATTATAGTTCACCCTACTTTCATCAACCTACCAACATGCAAAACTCACTCTCACTTTTATTTCCAATTCCAATTCCTTCGAAAAATAACTCCTCGCACCAAATGGGTGTTATTAAATGAAACTTCTATTAAGGGAATGTTTGAGTAGAATAAAAACTATGATTTTAAAAATGTTTTTATAATATACAAAGTAAATATATAAAGAAGTTTGTCTTAATTTGTAAAAAATATTTTTGGGGTTATCCATTAGCAACAAGTAAAAGCGTTTTACAGAATATTTTTTTATAAAACGAAACAAATTTTTTTATATATTTATTTTATATATCATAAAAATATTTATAAAATTAAAGTTTAGTTTTCACTCAAGCACTTTCTGAAATGACACCAAGCCCTTGGTAGATTACCCGTGCGTTGAGCTCTCTCTCTCTCTCTGTCTGTGTCTGTCTGTGCATGTGAGTCTGTGACCATATAGGATGTACCAGCGGGTCAGCCCTAAGATCCTGCCATCTAAATCCTCTACAATTCACTTGAGATGCACTCCCTGCATTTTCATGAAAACTGCGTCGTTGCGCTATGTATAATCTCGGCCATTGCTTTTATTAAATCGTAATCTTCAATTTCTCATCTTCTCCTTCGACATCTAAAACCCAATAGCTCTGTTCGCCGCCATCCTTCGCTGCTTGTCATCGATTCAGAACTTAGCCCTGTCCACTGTCGTGCCCTTCCCTTTGTGATCATTTTCATTTCTCCTAGCTGGAAGATTGGGTGGAGATTGTGAAAATATGATTTGGTTATCTTAAACTAAGGGGATGCTTCGCCATTGTCAAAAGTACTTTCTAAAAACACTTTTTCACAAATTGAAATAAATTTTTTTGTATATTTATTTCGTATACTGTAAAATTATTTTTAAAATTATAATTTAATTTTCATCTAAAAATCTCTAAATTTCTTATCTTGCATAAATATTTGGAAAAAATTAATTTGGAGGTCCTTATAATTATACTCAATCTTGAATCAAGTGCCTAACTTTTTTTTTTTAATTGAATCTAAATTTTCATTGTTAGATCTATTGCTCCCTAAGACCTAAAACTGTTAATTAAAACTAACACTATTAAAAATTTCGTTAAAAATCTCAATTATCTTCTTCTTCAACCTCCTTTCACCGTAAGTCTGTAACCCCAAGCTTTCTCTCTCCTTTTTTCATTCCTCAATATCATCTCCTTCCCCCACATTAAACGGCTTACCTGGCCGACCAACTGCATATCCATCATAAAAAATACATATAACTCATCTATTTCTCACAACATATGACTCATCCATGTCCAATCTAAATGGCACTCACCAGCAAATGACTTCTTGTTTGCTGGTGGATGCTATTTAGAAATCATCCACAAGGCCTTTTAATCAAATATCTCAGCAAATGTACCTAATTCACACCCAACTCATTTTTTATGACACTAATTAAATCAACAAGATATCTAGAGTGACCAGAGCATGAACCAAATTATTCCTATGTTTCCGCGCAGAGTGCTATTTTGCGATCATATCCATATTACAACTTTTAATCACTATAGCACCCCAAGTCGAATTTTGTTCAGTTATTGACATCATCCTCAACAAATGAGAAAGAAATGCATATAACTCATCCATTTCTCCTTCTCCAAAATGTCTCATCGGAGTCGAGCCTGCATTATTATATCTGTTCTTTATCGATCATGGTTACCTCCGTCGTAGAAGCAGAGTTGCTGCACCAGTCATGGAATCCGACATGGCCAGGCCCATATGTGAAGGCATCCTGGTTGATGACGGGTACAATGGTTCAAGTAATAATGGCCGCTGTGCAGTCAAAAAGAGTCGAGCTCTAATGGCATACATGTTGGGGATGGACAAATGAGGTGTATAATGGTCGGGAAGGAGAGAGAAAGCTTGGGGGTTATGGTGGGAGGAAGGCGAAGAAGATGATGATTCAGATAGAACTTCCAACGATGTTAATTCTAACTTAACATTTTGAGGTTTAGGGAGTGGTTCATATAACGGTGGAAATTTAAAGGATCCAATAAAAAAGGAAAAAAAACTCAAGAACTTGATTCAAAACTGAGTATAATTAAAAGACCTCCAAATTACTTTTTCTTAAATGTCTAAATGGGATTGGCTTTTTAGAGTTGGACGTTGCAACAAATCGTGCTGATATTATCTTTTTTTTTTTTGGGTGACATTTTGATGTGGACTCTTTAGACCTTCGGGCTTTTATGAACAATGAGATTCTGTTAGTCTGGGTTGCTTTATTTTGCAAGCAAATTGATTGATGATTGATGCGTTGGACCTATGAGGACCACTGTGATCGATTGATTTGAGGGTGTTTGATAAAATGCCTAGGAGAACACCCTATGTCACGGTAAACTCCAAGTTATAAGAAATCTGTCTAAAGCTATCATTCTCGGTGACATTCCATTCAGGCCTTTTGCATGAAGGATTATTGTTCATGCCTTTGATTAATGATTGTGCTAGTAACAATTGGGAAGCATATCCAGGTTAAATTTTTTTTTGACATACATATCTAGGCCAAATTATTGCATTTTACATCTTATTTCGTGGTTGTTAGACTAAACTACAACCAAATGATTGATAACCAAGTCCATTTTCACTTCATCTTTTTCGTTCCCCTTTGTATAGAAATGCCTGCCATTTTAGGTCCCGCTAAAGTAAACTGATTTCCGTCCATCTTACAATTTCTTCCTAACAGATAGTTCTGCAAGTTTTGAGATACTTGTGATGGTTTTGCCGCGTTAAGAATGATGAAGACTTTGTGCCTTCCTTACCAAGTGATTGTCAAATTTTGTATATAACTTTATTTGTGAAAGTGAAAGTGTTTTTACTAGTCAAATACTCAATGACACGATCTTCCTTTACTAGTCTTCTGTGTATTTAAAAAAAAGCGATACGTCCCGCTGTATTCCTACCTTCTAATGTCTTCAATACTTGGCTGATGACCATATTTGAACTCTAATAAGTGCAGCTGCTCTCTTTTCTCCTTAAAGGTCAGCTACTGCTACCCGTTGAACTGTTTCTGCAATCTGACTCATTTTTTGTTTCATTTATGAAACCAATCTCTATTTTCATGAGCTTCGCAGCCTTACATGTGAGTTATCTCTCTTTCTATGATAATACTATTGCCTATTTTGTTATCTCCATTTATAGGTATTAAATTTTTCATCTAAAAAATTTGAGGTGCATAAGCACCTACGATCTAAAGGACCAAAGATGGAGCTTACTATTACACAACCCGATGACTGGCATCTTCACCTTCATGATGGCAACCTTCTCAAAGCTGTCATTCCTTCCAAGTAAATTCACCTAATAACGGAAAGGTCTGTAGTCAATCCATATATAATCTCATGAATTTTAGGGAATGCATGCGACGAATGCTTGCTTCTAGTGCCTTCAATGTTCCTACAAATGAAATAATTTTTGAATCCTGAGTAATGACTAGTACCCCATTACAGCGCAAAGCATTTTGGAAGGGCTAGTTATGCCAAATTTGAGGCCAACTATTACTACCACGGCTACTGCTGTGGCTTATCAAGAGTCCATCTGCAAAGCACTCCCTGGAGATAGCAACTTCACTCCACTAATGACTCTTTACCGAACAGACATGACAAGCCCTGATGAGATTAAACTTGCAAGTGAGTCTAGTTTGTGGGCACACAATGTTAAAGAAATTTACCTGTGAAATTTATTCCAGTATATGACTAGAAGAAGTTTTTAAGAAGTAGCAAGTTTAATTTGCATGTCCAGGGTTGTATATATATGCTCTTCAATCTGTTGTTTAAATTCTTGTTTCATCCATCTTTGTGTTTATTTATCTGTTTTTTTTAATGAATATGTTACATTAATTGATGATGCTAACTGCATTGACAGAAAGAAGTGGAGTTATTTGTGGTGTAAAGCTTTATCCTGGTGGTGCCACCACAAACTCCCAAGATGGTATTACTGATCTTTCTGGGAAATGTTTTCTTGCTCTAGAGGAGATGGTTCGACAGAATATACCATTGTTGGTACTTATATGATTTTATGTAACTTGCTTATTTGTCTTCTTTTTAAAAAAAAAAAAAATTGTTACTCTTGTTTCTTTCCATTGTTTCTTTCCTTTTTAACTGTATGATCTCGGTTTATATGTGGCTATAACTAAGAATGTCTTTTGTTTTTTATTTTACAATCTTTTCCCAGTGGAGGATTCCTGATTTACAATTGTTCAAATCTTATGAGCCCCTTATGATTGATTTTATCATAATGGACCCCTATTTCGCAGCATGTTGCTATGATAAACATGTGAAGCCTTAAGCATGTACTGAATGATGCTTTGCAAGCCACCCAGTGACGTGTTTTCCTCTTTCCTGTTGGTTGTTCTTCTGTCTTAAAGTACTTAGGATGCCTTTTCTTGTAACTTCCTTATGCTTGAATCATTTTCTTTACAGGTTCACGGGGAAATTACAGATCCAAGTGTTGATGTTTTCGATAAAGAAAAGGTCTTTATTGAAACAATTTTAGAGCCTTTACTTCGAAGGCTTCCATAGCTGAAGGTCGTAATGGAACATATTACTACCATGTATGTTGTTAAATTTGTAGTCTTGCAGAGAAAGTATGTCTAATCATCAGGTTGAATGAGCTTTATTTTTATGTTATTATTTCGTTTTTTTTCTCATAATTTTCTCATGATTTGCTTTATTTGTCAGGTTATGTTGCTGCAACTGTTACACCCCAGCATCTTCTTCTGAACTGCAACGCTCTGTTCCTAGGTGGCCTGCAACCCCACAATTACTGTCTTCCAGTGCTCAAAAGAGAAATCGACAGTACGTTTTTTCTGTTATATTAGTCCAAATAATTTCAATTTTCAATATCTTTCATGTGCTATATCAGACTTCATTAAAAACTTGAAATAAACGATTTAAAGGGCATGAATGTTATGATCTACTTATAATATGATTGCATCCATTGAGTTTTAAATTATTCTTACTGCCGGTCTCATTTTCTGATATTTTTTCTTCTCATAATTATATATATATATATATATATTGTTATCTTTCCTTAAGCTTCCTTGTTGTTACTTTTGTTTTGCAGGACAGGCCATTGTTTCTGCTGTCACTAGTGGAAGTAAAAGGTTTTTCCTTGGAACTGACAGCGCTCCTCGTGAAAGGCGTAAAAGAATGTAGTTGTGGATGTACTGGCATACACATCTCCCCTGTCGCTCTATCACTCTATGCCAAGGTCTTTGAAGAGGTGGCACCTCATTCATATGTTAGATTTTACATTCTTATGGTTTCAAGTCTTCTATTGGCGTATGAACATATTGTTAGGTCTAAGGAGCAGGGGAAGGGGGTGAGTTCCAGTGATGAACTCGTATTTGCTTAAATTTCAGTGCGTTGGTTCATGAATAGCATTTGATTGCATCAATGCAAAGAAAAGGTTTGAAAAGCGGTCTTTAAGCGGTCTTTCTGCGTATGAATTCCAACCTCTGCTGATTTATCCTTCTTCCTTTAGCTATTTCTTTATCCTTGGTGGACTCAAAGCATATTATTTTCCTTAATGCTGGTAACATAATTATTTCTTCAATCTTTTAAAGCAAATATCCATTGATCCCTAGGCGATATGGTCACTAGCATTTCTGTTCGCTTATTATATATATGTAGTAAACTGCTTATCTGTGTGATGCAACTAGCTCGAAGGAAAGGCTCGCACTTTGCATGATTATTGTAAATCGACAAGCTGGAGGCCTTCACAAGCTTTAATGGACCAGACTTCTATGGCCTTCCAAGAAACAACTCAAAGATCAAGCTGAGGAAGGCTCAACGGAGGGTGCCCGAGACTTTTTCCTTTCCTTTCCTTTCCTTTCGGAGACATTGTGCCCATGTTCGCGGGTGAAACGCTTGAATGGGAGGCAGTCCTTGTTTGATTGATGTCACTTCTATTGAAAGTTCAGCGTATTTCTGCAGACTTCTTCTGAGAATAAAAGAAGTTCATTTTAAACAATAAAACGTCCAGAAAGTTTCATGGCAGTCTCCTATCTGACATTGGAGTGGGAATAATAACTGCAACATTCCCAATTATTCTATAAATGAAACTTCTTATATTTTTGGTGAAAGATTGTAATCATAATCAAAGATATCTTGTGTTCCCAATCTAAAAGCATCATTAGCTTAGTTGGAAATTAAGGCGTAGAAATATTTTGCCATTTCTCCCACTTTTTTAAATTCTAATTCAGCATATCGACAAAATGTTTCTGTGAAACAACTCATGATGTAAACTCTACTGCCTGGCGACAGTTGAATGAACAAGAATTCTTTTTGAAGGCAGCCTTTTTAATCGTTTGATGGCATACGGTACAAGTTCGGAGCACCTCTGTGCTTCAGATGTAAGCTTTCTATGCAAAGGCTAATCTAATTTGTCTTGTAGTTTTCTTTTTCTTTGATACAGAGATAGTTCTATATAATTTTTATGAACCTATTCTAGAGGCTTTGGCTATGAGGCTTTTGCACTTACTGCTTAATGGAAACTTGTGGACTTCTGATGTGGTTTTTCCAGGGGGAAAAAAAAAATTGTTCAGCCTCAGAAGAATTTAATTTTTGTTTCCTTTGGCTATTTCTTGAAGCTTGGAAGATTGGAGAGGCAAGAGCGGTTCCGTAAAGCACACCCAGTAGATATTTTTGAGAGCATGTAGGAAACCATTCACTAATTAATCCTTAAACTTTTAGTCTCCCCTAAACCCTTCTCACTAGCTGTGTTTAAAAGTCACACCGGCCTATTATATGATCAGCAAAAACTACAAATGTTCAACATTTCATAGCAATTAATTAACAACCATGGTTAGTAATGGGTAATGTGAAAAATCAAAAAGAAGCTGCGGCCCGAAGAGTTAATTATTTAGCTCTTGGGAATTTTACATGCAATCCAACAGATTTGGCTAGCAAATAGTACAAGATTGTAAACTAAACTATCAATGTTTAGCTCCCAATTTGCCATACTTATCCAGTTTGATCAGAATTATGAATTTTTAATTAATTATTGAAAATAAATAAAAATCAATACTGGTAAAACCTTCTGAATCAGTGGGGTAACCTGAGCCATTCATGTTAAAAGCAGAGAGAAATTCCAAAAACAGATACATGATAATAAGATGAAACAGCAAAGAATAAAAGTTGCAGTCTTTTGCTTTCACATGCAAGTCAGACCCTCGTCGTTGAAAAATTCAATGAACGGTACGCGCACCTTTAATTATACAATCCGACAGAACTTGATTATGTGCACGTAACTGCATCGTCTGCTCTTCCTTTCTGGACGGAAAGTTCATATTATCAATTGAAAGAGAACCCACAGATAGTGACAGGCACTTAATTAGATCCAAGTCCAATTGGTCTGCGGTATACATCAAAATTTGAACATGTAACGGATACGAATGTGCTGTGGGGAGGGGGGGACTGCTAGACTTGGATAATTGCATGCCTCTTCTTTTGGATCTCCTTTCTCCTAGATTCCTCTTTGTACAAAGACACCACAGAAACTAACGACACTTCCAGGAAAACAACAAAATTACCACAAACAGCACGAGGACAACGAGTCTAGGCAGAAAAATCAAAATAATTAATGTCCCATCATGATAATCCCTTCTCATCCTTTTTTGCAAGCTCCACTTGACTACTTTACATAAGATAGGAAAATTAGTTGAATTGGTTAATTATTTCTTATAAAACATCAGAATTATCTTCAATAAAATGCACGAGGTTAAAACATGTTATATTACAAAAAATACACGAGGTTCTTGTAATAAAGAGCATTGGAAGTATAATACTGAGCGGTCAATTCCATATGCATCATATGGGCGATTGTCAAAGGGAGGACTTCTAAATTAAAAGAGCCTAACCGCTTATTAACAAGTTATTAGTTAAGAAAATAGTAGCCTCACTTCTGCAAGAAAAAGAACACGAGTTTAAATATTAGAAAATATCTAACTATTTAAAGCTCAAGATCTAATTAATAGGCATTCAGTTTCAAGTCTAAAATGATTTAAAGAGTACCTAAGTTCCACATCAAAAGAGCCTAGCTACTACATAGCTCCAAAATGTTTCAAAGACATGTGGGTTTCACATCAAAACAGGCTAACTACTTTATGCCTAAGCTGCATCTCTATCTATAGTCACGAAACTCTCTTGTGGCGAGAGATAAAAGAAGCGTTCTAAAAGATTTTGCAAACCTCCAAAACAACAGAGCTATCGCAATTCGCAACGAAACTGAGTTAAATTACCATTCAATATTCAAGCATATAGGGTGAGACGTCTCCTACCATATTTCATAAAGATTGAGTCCTCACCCATAGCCACTGATAAGATATCTCCCTCTGAAACCCATCTCACATAGTCTTCTTATATCTTCTAAATAAAGTAAGCATCGGTTCCAAATTAAACAATCTTCCATTCAAAACATGGCTCTAATAATTTATTGAACCAACAAATTATTCAAAACAGCAATTTCCCCCTCAGTCACAAGTGATTCTAATAGAGAGAAAATTATCATGCCGCATGTTTTCAGCAAAATCATGAAATGATTATCTCAGATCATACTCAAACAAAATCATGTAATTAAAAGTGCTTGGAAAGATCATACCGCATTGAGGATTATATTCTCCATCAGTTTCCATATGATCAAAGCCTTCCATTCCTTCAGATCATTCTAGATCCTTCCACCAGCTCGTTGAAGCTAAGGAGGAACCAGACATGTTGCCTTGTTGAATAATGAGGAGATCTCGATTGCTTTGTTCTTCTTTCAGTTGGCCAAGATTGCTCCTCATTATAATTAGCTATTTAGCTTCATCATATTGTCTTGTTGTTGAAGGAGGAGATCCATTGTATTTGCATTGTTTAACTCATTGAAGCTTCATCAATTCCTTATTAATTGGCATAATTCTTTTAAGTCAGATTTACCATTCATTAATGTTCTGGAGTTAGCATATGCATGTTCTCTAATTTTTAATAATAAATGAAAATATAATGCTAATAGTTAAAGCACAGGTCACAAGAATACTCACTTTGAAGATCTGAAGCTAAATACAGGCACCTCGCTTATTTATATTGTATGAGATGATTGAAGAGTTACAAAGTACAACTGTACAGGAGAAAATCCGAAGCTAGATTTCAGGATAACGTCTTGGCGGCAAGAAGTTGAAATCTTACACCACCATTAATTAATATCCATTGGACATAGAGGGCAGTGATTATTGAAGCTCTTAATTAATTATATATCCTCTGGTTAATTAGAAGTTCCAGGGTTCAGAAGCAATGTTCTCAAAATCCCACCACTCAGGGTTTATTTCCACATCACTTGATGACCCGTACACAAATCTTTTTATCCTCTCGCTTACCTTGGTTGCTCCGAATTGATACGACGATTGCCCAATCTGCAAAACCCACATAAGCAAAACAAAACCAAATATTAGTTCACCTACACGGATTCCCGAAAAAATATGATTTTCTCGGAAAATAAACAGAATGTGAAGGAAAACCTGAGAATTATTAAGCGTATAATATATATACCTCTGCATGCACTACGTGGTGCATTGAGTCGCCAACAAGCGAGGAGTTAGCACTCACAACCTCTATGTTTTCTTCGTGAAGTATACGAACGATCTCATAGAAAACGAACTGGTTATCTAATCCCGTGATCAGAGCAATTTCTAGAGACGAACCCACTTCACGAATCTCGATTTCTGGTGATCTTGCCACAGTTTTCTTAGTCTCAATAACACTACTGGAGCTGCTCGCAGCAAATGGCCTTTTCCTTCCCGTCAAGCCTTCTCTCTTCTCTTGAGCCATCTTCACCTTCGCCTCCAAACTCTTTATGTAATCTATGGCCTGATCTATTTGATCAGGAAGCGGCAGTATTTCCTGCACCACACAAATTATTATTGAGCCTCACATCAGTACATTACATATCTACACACATACAGAGAATATGCAGAGGAATTGAAGAAGCAAGAGAAAGAACCTTTGGGTTATGGTCAGGCAGGAGAGAATTGAGCTTAGAGTAGAGAATCTTCATCTGGTTTCTTCTGTTTTTCTCTATGATTTTTCTTTCGACTTTGGTGGAAGAAGGAGGAGGAGGGGGAGGATGATTCTGGCTTCCTTGAGCTTCCATTGTTGTTATCCTTGGTTCTGCGAAGAAGCTTGCCGCTGTGTTTGCGAAGATGATGGTGGATGAGTTCATTTGTGTTCGCTATATAATGTTTGCGTGATCCCACACATACATATATATATATAAATGGGATTTTGTGTGTGTGTGTGATGCGTTTAGGGAATTGCGAAGTGAGATCAGTGTGAAACAGGAAGGTGACGAAGTGGGCGAAAAGCACAGTGAGGGAGTGATAAATGAGGGACGCACCGAAACGTCATCTCAGAGATGTCAGCAATCTGTCCTCCGTCTCGCCGTCAAATTAGAAAAAGTCAATATCCACGTGCCTCTTTTATGTGTTGCCACGTAATATCCCTCTCTATAGCCCTTTTTTGGCTGCCTGGCGTGGCTGAGAGCGCCACTTTCTCAGATGGAAACGAAATCATAAAGTAATTACTAAGTAATTAGACATTGGTTGACGTTAATGCGGAATATTAGTTTACATGAATAACCGTGCTAATAATATTTTATTGTTCTTTCTGCTTGCCGGTCCTTTCCACTAGGAAGATACATTGAACAATTATAAGCATCAGAACGTCAACCATCAAAGAACAATTTCAAGTGCAATAAGATAATATTGTCTACTTTGATATGAATTAATTATTTAATATAAAACACTGCTTAATTCATCATGTCCCACTAATTATTAAAATCGCTTCCCTGTTTAGTGCACAAGTTTTGGTTTATGTGCCTTTGAAGATGACAAATTTTTTTTTATTATAGGAAAAATCAATCTTAAAAGAATAAAAATAAAATTTTGGTTGGTATTGATCGTTTTGCACCAATAAATGCAATAGGAGCGAGGGAAGAACGAATTGCCTACAATTCATTTATTATAAGAAGCTAAGCAATAAACAAATTTTGTTCTTCATCAAACAAAAATATTTTGCTTCTCTCCCCTAATAATTATCTTGGTATTTTCTCTTTCATGTTTCATTTCTCTATAACCTGATAATTATAAGGAATGTTTTTTCTCCCCTTCGTTGCGTACCCAACATGATATTCTTCCCATTCACTGCGTTCATGAGTCTGCTAAAGACCTTTTTTTTGACTTATGATAAAAATATTTTTTTAATACTGGACTTTCAAAGAATAGAAAAAGAGGGCTACTTTACCAAGGCCATATTCAGAAGATAATTAATAAATGTTTCTCATGTGGAGTACTAGCTGATGCTTATTATAAACTTTGAATAAAATAATAATAAGTTAAAAATATATTTTTGTTTTCAAATATATCTTTATCATAAATGAGAAAACGGATGAAAAAAAATATGAGGAAAATGTGACAAGTAAAAAATAATTAAGGACAACATTGAAAAAAATACATTAAATATTAAAACAAATTCAAATTAAAACTTATAAAATAAACTATGTCTCTTTTTAAATTTGAAGCGTACAAATAAGACCCGAAGGAATATATAGTAAAAAAAATCCCTGATGAAAGACCATAAAATATTTTAAAAATTAGTCCCATACTTCCATTGATCTTCATCGTAGATTACATTATAGAAAACCGTTATTCATCTAATCCTCATGTTTCAGTGGGGGGAAAAAACATTAAACCTCGTTAGGTATATTTTTAAATTTAACATTTTTTCAATGTTATCATATTTAATATATTCATTTTTCAAAAGAAATAACCAGTTATATATAATAGATAAAGCTAAAATAATCTATTTATATTAAAAATTTAATGACATCACTTATAAATAAGATAAAAAAATCCTTTCTTTCTACCTTATAAACAGACCGGCAAAATATATACACACACATACGCACACACACGGCACTCTATTTCTATACGTAAGTTACTTGTATTTCATTTCGTATATCAAGCATACTAAAAAAATGCTTTAAATTAATAAACTTTTCACATTTGCTTATTAAAGGAAGGGTATTGAAATATAGAGTACATCTTCTCTTGCCTATATTCCTCAAGCGTATTCAACATAGTAGATAAAATTGAAAAAGACTATTAAGAGGGGTGTTTGGCAATAATAAAAAGTATATTTTTATAAATTGAGACAAACTCCTCCACATATTTACTTCATATACCGTAAAAACACTTTTAAAATTATGGTTTGGTTTCTATCCAAATATCGTCTAACTACGTTACAGATATCTTGTATTTAAAACTTTTTTTTCTATGAGTGAGTTATATATATAAAAACATAACGGAAAGTCGGTGTTGAGAAATATCTAAAAAGCGAAGACAAACTATTTTAAATTATTTTTATAATATATAAAAGAATAAGTTATAATAAGTACTAACTCCGGTCCTTCATATAAGATTTCGTTTGAGTTTTATTTTGGTCCTAAACATAAAACCCCAATCTACTTTGTCTTTCATATTTATATATTTTTTTTAAGGTAGTCCTTCTAACAATGATAGTTCTAGCCAATATACTTGATTAGCAAGAATATATTAGGAAAGACAACACCTAGTAACTAACTAATTTTTTTTTTAATCTTCTTAAATCAGTCAACTAGTCTTATAAGGAAGTTTTATATTTAGAGTTGGAAGAGTACTAGCATTGATTTTGTGTCGCTGGAAATAAAGCAAGGGGGACAGGCTAATGACAACGAAAGGAAGCGTGTATCACAGAAGAAAGTCAAGGGAGAGTGGCCGTTCTTCTTAAGGACTGAACATCCAAATGCATCTCTGCGTACGTCGCGGCTGCAGTCACGCACTTCCTCCCTTTTTCCTTCCAATCAAGCATCACTTTCAACACGCCTAGATCATATAAATCTAATTTTACACTTCATATTTATGATTTTTAATCAATATTCTTTGAAAAATTGTAACAATAAATAAATGATTAAATTTTGGCAAGGATCTGGTCAATCGTGTCATTATAATGAGTGTTTATTGTTGTTTTCCTCTGTTTTCCAAAAGCTTTAATTTCCTTTCCTTTTCCTCGAAATTCCTCCTTTTCTCTCTGTCCGGTTTTGCCATAACTATTCTTAATTTGATGCTAATCATAATTATTGGTCATATCTTTGCTGCCGGAACAAACACCTTAACACTAACGCTGGTAATACTGTGGTCTCTTCTTCAACTTGCCTTTTCCCATCCATGCTTTATCTTTATCTTGTCCCTTTTCTTGCTGTTTTGGGTCAACTCTTATTAATTAGTTATTTTAAACGTGCTTTTCTATGCTCTATTTTCACACTTAATTAAATGCCTTTGATTTTCAGCATTTCCCAATTGAATCTCCCGCCCGCCCCTTCCATTTTAAACTGAGCAGGGTTATACTGTTTATGTATATGGGTAGTTTTTTTTTTCCTCTCCCTATGCTTTGAATCTAAACATATGCTATTAGCAATATGATCCTGATGAAAAGTAGGCAACTCAAGAAACACGTTTAAAATGATAAGGATGAGACACTCAACTCTATATATTTAATATGATCTTCTCAGATCAAATTAGAAAATGTGAATTTTTGAAAAAAATTAATAAATTTGTATGTGGAATAAAAAAAATAATTTCCTGTCCCCATAATTTTGCAAGATTTTTAATCATGTCCTATAAATTTTGTTATATCAAGTTCTTATAGTTTCACAAGATTCTTAGTCGAGTCATAGTTTCAAGTCATTAAACATGAAGAAAAATAAATTACAAAGATTTTATTAAAGGGACAATTCCAAAAAAAACTTGGAATATAGGAAATTTCTGATTGGGTCCTGAAATTGTACAAATAACATAAAGGGTCAATGACCAAATATGTATTTGTAAAATTAAGAGGAATTGATAATTTTGCCCCGGTTAAGTAAAAGTGAGTTTTTCTCTAAACAAATCTATACCATGCTTACACTGTTCTAGTGATTACATGATTAGTTGTAGTTAATAACAAGGTACCTGACAACGAAAAAGTGAGTAGTTATTCTCTACACGAATCTAAGTAACGCTTACACTGTTCTAGTGATTACATAATTAATTGTAGTTAATAACAAGGTACCTGATAACAAAAAAGTGAGTAATTATTCTCTACACGAATCTAGGTAACACTTACACTGTTCTAGTGATTACATAATTAATTGTAATTAATAACAAGTACCTAACTACGAAAAAATAAGTAGTTATTCTCTACACGAATCTAGGTAACGCTTACACTGTTCTAGTGATTACATTATTATTGTAGTTATAACAAGACACCTAACTACGAAAAAGTAAATAGTTATTTTCTCTCATGAATCTAGGTGACGCCTAAACTCTTATAGTGATTCCTTAAATCATTGTAATAAATAAATACAAATGAGAGTAAAGGTTGTCAATTTTTCCTGATTTTACAAATGATAAATTGGGTCATTACTCTTTTGTCATTTACACAATTTCAAGACCCAAATGAAATTCCCTATATTCTAAGTGCTTTTTTGGAATTTTTCCTTGATTAAAAATCAGATGAAACTAATAAAGGGGGGAACTACAAGTAATTGATTAAGATTAAGTGAAACAACATATATCTGATTTTACAAAAATACAAGAACCCGATTAAAAATGTAAAATTATGGGAATTTGCAAATTAATTTTTCCTCAAAAATAATGCTTCCAATTTGATTGAATAAATTTACTTAAGTAAACAGATTTTTTGAACACCGCATTGCTCAAAATAAATATATTTACGAATAAGCAAGACACTTGTAGTTTTCTATGATTTAAGTAAGATAGAGATTTTGATTCTCGTGTTTGTCTACTCTGCTCATCCCATTCCCTCACTTAGATACAAGGCTTAGGATCTAATTAAAGTATAATTAATTTAAATTGCTTTGAAATATTAATTAAGTAGACATGTGCGCCCAATACACGTGAGTCGAGGCGGTATTGGAGTATCTCCCTGAAATGATTTCTCATGTACAAAACTTCTTTCCATTCCTCTGAATCTAAATTACTAATATGACTCACAATATAATATATTTAACTTATACACCACACATGTCATCGTAATGACGTATTCAGATCAAGAGCTCAAATAAAAAAAAAGTGCAATTGTTCTGTATCCCGATGACTATTATTAAT